CAGATATTATCCCCCTCACCCTACACATCCTACTCTAATGCTTTCATAAAACTATTTTATGACGTATAACCATTAAAACCTTTGCGGGAGCTTCTCAGTTACAGCCACCCTTATCACTCCAACAGTCACAGAAACAGTACACACAATTAAAAAGAGTGAAGAAACATTGCACGTGCACATCTACAGCAGTTATGCTTAGATTTCCCTATGCTGTGTTGTCCTACATATGCAGTGCTTCACTTATTGAAAATGGCAGACTAGAGATTGGTTGAGATGCAAGATGGACACATTAATAAGTATTCCTTTTTTTTTTTAAATAAATGTAATGAATGATAAACATCCAATTTAGGGTGCACATTTAAATAAAGACCTAATTATGAAGTAAGTAAAATGTATATCAAGGAAGGTTTCATATTTTACATACATAGATATCACTGGATGTGTTTTCTATATGCACAGAGTTTTAAAATGCTTAATTGGTTATTTCTCTGCTATTTAATACCTGCTTCTCAGCAAGCCACTGTAAACCCAATATACACAATTATATCTGGACTACACAGGTCACGGTCAACTTTTCCTAAAGCAGCATATAATCGGTGTCCTTTTCACTGCTACAACAGCAATTTGCTCAAAGCAGCACTAGTAATTATAGATGAGGAGAGTGTCGCGAAAAACAAACAAACTCCTGCATAGTTCACAGAAAAATGGAGTTACAGAACAAAAAGGTTGATATTGTCTTTAAAAAAAATAAAAATAATAAAAAATTTTAAAAAAATAACCCACAACTTTAAAGATAGCATGGTGACTTGTGGGGTCTTTATTTTTGCAAAGATCCCTTAAAGTGGCATTAAATTGCATGGTGCTATCCTCAGTGTCTCCATTTTCAGGTTCAGCTGAATCTGCAGCTTCTAGTAAACATGATGCCAGGACCAGAGTCAGTGCTGTACTTTCACACATGCACAATAGTACAAGTTGGGGTCTATGGAAGATCTTGCAAGACAATAGAATCCTAGATGGATCTTGCAAATGTGCAATGAGATGGCATAAGCATTTTTTTTATACATTTAATGAGAAGACGCCCATTAGATGTTCCACGTGATTGTTGACCGGAAAGATCAAAATGCAGAAGATGGAAGTGGTTTGAAGTTTCCTTTTCTCATAGACATGTATAAGTGAGCAAATGGAAAAGGTAGGACAAGGATGAAAGGAAAAAGGAGAGGGAAGTATGTTTTGGAATTAAATATAAAAAGGGAATGGTATGCAACAGGAATGTAAGGCAATGAGGTAGGGCTAAGTCAGAAAAGGATATCCATGGGATCCAGATTTTTAGAAAAGAGATAGAAAAAAATATTAGAAACTATGAGCTTTTCCAACAAGGGCAGATTCCAGATTTTGCTTGAATCATTATTAGAAATTGTGAGCTTCTCCATTGAGAGTAGGTGCCAGATTATGGGTGCTATTTGCAAGAGACATAAAAGTAGTTCCAGGATTTATTTATAACTAAAAGTGTCTCCATTTGAAAGTGGAAATAAGTTTTTTTTTCTTTTTTCTTTATTTTCTGACCTAGTCAAGTTCTCAAAGCCATTAACGGAGGAGGACCATTCTGGGTCCAGGTCTCAAAACACCATATTATCACACTACGATTAGCAAACATACTTTCCAGCAGTTATCTGATCATCTGACAGTCCCACCACATATAGGTAGATATGTTCCTCTTATACCACATCATCAGAAACATAATGGAGAGTTGGACAGGCAGAATTGTTAAAGCCTATCCAGTGAGTGGTACTACAGAGCTAAGGTCTTATAGGAATAGTCACGCTAATGGTTAAAGAGTGGATATTGAGCTCTAAGGTCTCTCCCAAGTCAATCTCCCATTTCTCTTTAGATGTAGAAATAGGAGGGATGCTAGAGTCCTTAAAAGAACAGAGAAAAACGAGCTGTACTCGGGACAGTTGGTTGTTGAATTAAGGCAGTGAGTTAAACATTCAAGACTTGGAAGGTTTACTGGAAATGAAGTGGGCTTCTTTCTGTTAATTGCTTTGTTGATTGCTTAAAGTTGAGAGGTGGAAATGAAGTTGCTTTATGGAATTTTATGCAACTATAATGTAATTTAGCAGAACAATGTATTTTATTTACAAAGACCAATTTCTAAACATTAATTGTAGTTTAAAGACATACTACTGTGAGTTATTTCTTTTTAGTTCAATGAAGATTTGGACCCTAAATAAGGACACTTGGGAGGTATGTTATCATATTTACACAAGCTAAGGTACGCAACAAATGTTCAGACTAAAATATATTATAGCAGTGTGACATTCTGTCTCACATTTACACAGGTCTTTGCTCTTGATTAGATTGAGCCCATTAGACCAATAAAGCCCTGGAATTGCCTTTTACTATTCTCCTCTCCTGTTTTCATAGCATAGTAGGAATAGAGAATCCATGATGGGTTAAATCCCTCCTACAATATAGTACGTAATATTTATCTTTGACTTGTTTCTGTTAGCGGATTATTGGTCACCTTTTTAAAAGGAAAAAAAATAATTGAAGAGAAGCAGATTAAAGTCAATGTTAACTAATAGAGAGGTCAGATAGGAGCTGAATGAAAAGAAAATGGTATCCACAATTTATCTACAAAAAACCCACAAACTGTATACAATATTTTTCAGATTTTATTTTGGTTTTTATTTGTTTCCATTTTTCCACTGGCTGTTAATTTTCCTTCTTTGTGCTTAGACTACGTTTACAATAATTTTGAATTATTGGCCTTTATATAGCACCAACAAATTTTGTAGTGCTTTTCAATATTAATTGTAGCATTCCTATTAAATACTAAACAATCTAAATTCTGTTTCCTATAAACTAAACCTTAAACCTTAGCCAAATCTACAGTGGGAGTTGGTGAAACTGGTGTCCAGGGACCTTCATTCACGGTTTGAAAGTGGAATAACAACAAGCAATTATGGTGTCTAGAGTGTCTATTTAATTTTACAAAAACATTAAAGGCTCACTCAAGCAACATGACCATTTCGGTGATTTGAAGTGGTCATGGGGCCTGGTGTCTGTATATGCAGCATTTTGCTATGAAACGCTGCACATACAGAGTTTAACGCCATCTCCGGTATTGTCATTGGGGCTTCATTAGCCAGTCCAGAACTAGAGTTCCGAGCTGGTTAATATCGATTATATGTATATTTCTATACACAGACATTTATTTATTAGAGCTCCCAGCCAATGAATGAGCAGCAGGACAGGTAACCAGCTCAGCAGAAGCCAGATGTCCTAAACCTGCTTTAAGAAAAACAGGGGCCTGGTGCAGAACCGGGTCATAGGTAACTTTGATTGGATAACCACTACATTGTGTTGTAGGGCTTATGATGGTCATAATGCATGAAATTATGGGCACAACTATTTTAATTTAAATGTAGATACCAGAGGCTAATGGTAATGCACATACATGGGTACTTCTGAAGCTCAGGTTATTAACAGTCACAACATTTTTTTTAATATTCAATTTTGTTTTCCTGGAATGGAAGGGGCTGGCAAAAAAAACTATCATCAAGAAACAAGCTCTTCTGCAAGTTCCATATTCCCAGCAATACAATTTTTAAAAATATTTTTTTGCCTTCTTCTGAATCAACAAATAGGGTCGATCAGAAATCCTGAACTTTATGCTAAGGGAGTATTTGTTCTTTCATATTCTGAACAAAATAACTATAAATTGTTTACATTGCTTAACAAATGTCAAAATACGTCAAAAAAAGTAATTGGATTGAAAACTGGCTTGTACATGTAATGCAAAACATAAGAGGAGTACTTGAGGGTTCTTTTATATTTCTTCCACAGAAAGGTTCATCTCACTGTCTGCACAAACCTAAAAATTAGGTAAAATAATGATTGGAAATGGAGGCTGTCCCTCTGCAAAAGGGTTGAACAAAATGGAGGGTTACAGAATTGATCAAAAACAAACTCTTATTAAAAATAGGAATGAAAGAAAATGCTTTACGTGATGGATTTAGGAAAATGAATTGTAAAAATCCAGGGCAACATTGTGCTAGATTAGTGAATGATTGCAAAGGCCATTAAGGTATCGGCAGATATAAATGGTATCACGAAGAAAATGATGGTTCTTTATAAACTAAATACCAGAGCCTAATTTGAACATGCAGTCCATTTATTTATTTAGATATTTTAAAAGTACAATAAATGGTATATGAATCACAGCTTAGGGAGGGCTTTATGATTCGATTAATACTATTAAAAAAGGATGGAAAGTATTTCTGAAAAGTAGGAAACAGGGATTTGATTTTTTGTTGTTATGATCTTGATAATTTGTCCAGTGGGAAATATGTCCGAAAAGGTTAAACATGACTAACCTTTTTTCTTTCCTCAGTATAAACAAATATTAACACACAAGGGAAATAAAAAAAAAAAAAAAAAACACTCAGATTTTCAGAGATGTTTAATAAAACTGCTTCTGGCTTATAATGTAAAATGTATCGTTAAAACAGATGCAGATTGCATAATACAGATACAGCATTCCAGTGAAAAAGATATACAATAATTCATGAACACGTAAAAGCAAATATTTATTTCAATTTTATAGGTAAGAAATGGACACCTTGTTTGGTCTGTGATATCCGGTCGGCGATTAGACTGATGTGTCGATACTTCGGATTGTGCACTGTTACATCAAGCGGAATCCTACGGACAACTTCAATGTCAGGCCATTGGCTATGGCCTGTTTGGGTCATCTCCTCTACCTCACATTCTTCTACTGGAAGTGAATAAAATATATATACATTTAAGCTAAATTGTTTGTGAACTATTCTAGGAAAGTAAATGGTCAATGAAGTTATACTGTAAACCACTAATTCAAAAGACATCAAAGCAACTCATCTGTACATTCACTTTGTCTCACCCAGTGACAGAACTTTCTACACCCATCTAACAGATAACACCTGGTTATACAGGTAACGTTTGGTCATTAGACACCATGCTCTACTAATTAATAGCACCCAGAATGAGTGCAAAATAGAAGACATACTTTTTATAAAAGGAAATATTCTACAGGAGACATACCTATAAATCACAATATATTTTAAAGCAAAAGTCCAAACGATGTAAAACATTTTTTTGTAAAAAAGTTGACAAAAAAAATTACAGGATCATGTAAAAAGGAACCGCTGTAAGGATCAAGTCTTGTATCTACGTGCCATACCTGTTTTGATCTCTTCCTCATCATGTACCTCTACCTCTAGAAACCTGATAAGCATTCGATATAGTATTCGGAGGAACTGCAAGTAAGCACCAGTCTTTCCAACCTAAAAAAACAAAAAATAAAAATGATCTCGGCTCCAGACACAGGACATACACAGCATTAAACTAGAAGACTGTAGAGACTTTGAGAAAAAAAAAACACTCAAGGGAATAAGAAAGATGGCGGTTGATGAGCAGTTTCCACACCTTCAGTAATATTTAAAAGTGCTGGAAGTAACACCCGTTCCAATTTTTCCCTCCCAAATGTTGGAAAGCATACCTCCCTCCAATAAGCTGTATTACAGCACAATGAGAAGCACTGGATAGTGTGTTCGCTTCTGGTTGGAGTTTTCTTTCATGGTTTGTTTATTTTTCACATCATTTCATATCCTATACATAAGCTATAAAAAATAATCTCTCCCGGTGTTTCCACATTCTCACAGTGATATATAAAAAGGGCCAGGAAGAGAGACATTAAGTTCAGCTGTCAGCCTTCAAAAAGGGTGTGCCGTGCATATTAGATCCAGAAAACAGTAGTTTCATACAAATGAATGAAATTCCAATCTATTCGTGCCATGGCTGCATCTTCGTAGATAGCTTCATAATTCCCATGGTATTTGGTTTAAAGACCAAGATTGGTCTTTCAGACAAATTTACTAAATTACAAATTTACTAATACTGGTAGACAAACTACTATACTGCAAGTTGGGGCATGTCTACTAAACAGTGAGCAGCCTTTGGCCGCTCACGGTAAAAAAAAAAAAAGCCCCCTAGTGTTCCCCCTCCCGAGCCCCTAACCGAGCGCAAGTGGGGGCTATTAACCTAGCGTGTGAGTCCACCACCCATGAGCAGCAAGCACTAAATTAAAATAGGGGGGAGACCTATAATCCTCCCCCCCCCCACACCTATGAGTGACGGGTAGGGGCCTTAAATTAAAATGGGGGAAGGAGGGTCCTATTGTCCTTCTCCCCCCCTCCCCCGCCGCTCATTTCACTAAATGAGGGAGGTACCTAGTGTTCTCCCCTCCCCCCCGAGCCCCACCCACGAATTGCAGGTGGGGCCCTAAGTGACTAGGGGGGGCCTATTGTAAACACCCCCACCCCCCGGTGACTAGGGGTCCCCAAGCACCTAGACTCCACCCCAACCTGTAAATAAACAATAACTTACCATTTTAGGTCTTTTTTCAGCCCCATAAAAATCTCTAATACCCGTCGCAACTGTAAAAAAAAAAACCCAACGCTAAAAAAAGTTATCCATCTTCACCTAGCAAGGCACCACGCAGACTGAGCAATGCAGGGCGGGGAAAGGCTTATAAAGCCTTCCCATGCTCTGTAATTTGACTTTGAGCAACCAGTGTTAAGAGTCAAATTACACAGCATAGGAAAATTCCAAAGAACTTTCCCACGCTGTGTAAAATGACACAGAGCACTCTGGATTTCAAGCTCTGACAGGTAAATGTAGAGACTTACCTGTCAGAGAATTCTGATTGGTTGGCTTGGAATCAACCAGAGTGCTCTAAGTCAGAGTGCTAAAAGCCTTCATTAAAATATTTTTTTTGGGGGGGGAGGGAGGGAGGAAGACTAGAGGCTTTGGGACCCCTAGTCTCCTTGGGCGCGGAGGGTTTACATTTATCCCCCACCCGTCGCCCAAGGGTGGGGGCTGGGAGAGGACAATAGGTCCCCCTCCATAGTCATTTAGGGCCCCCTCCCGGCGCTCATGGGTGGGGGCAGGGAGGACGACAACAATCGGTCCCCCCCATTTTTATTTAGGGCCCCCACCCACCGCTCATGGCGGCATAGCTAGTAGGGGCATTCGGGAGATTTTAATCTCCCTTATACCATTATGGAGGTCATATTTGCCCCCATAGAGTGAGGGAGGACATGGGGGGCTTAAGATGTGGCGGGGAGCACTGCTCCCTGCCACTTCTATTTTTACAGATTACAAGGAGGGAGCTGCGCGACGGTAGCTCCGTCCTTGTAATAAAAAATAGGGGCAAATGAGTCAGCAGCATAATTTGATGAAACATTTCAATTCCTAGTTGGCTTACACCTCATACAAATGCATATACATACACAAACAAAAAAAAAACAAAAATTATATATATATATATATATATATATATATATATATATATATATATTTGGGTCTGGGTGCCGTGCCCCTGTTAGTGGTTTGTATGTTTCCATTGAAAAGCTAAAAAGCCCTTTAGCGGCAGTCTTCCGGACAGCCACTAGAGTTGCTTCTGCTGTGATAACAGAGTAAGACACTGTTCTCATGGAGCATTTAATATGAGCAGTGCGCGGTTGGCTGCACATGTGCTTCTTGTCTCCAATACTTGTCTATGAGGAGCATTTGATGGAATGAGAAGAAGAAGAGTCCGAATGGCGTTGCGGGAGTAGATCGGGAAGGTGCAGGGTCTGGGTATCACCACTGAATCTAAATGCTAAGAAGACAACTACAGTTGTAGGAATGTTTACTTCATAACATGATGCAGAGGGCCTTTTGAAGACAGTTTAGTGAATGGGGAGTCACTGATTAGCTGAGAGCATCAGCAAAGTTTATGTAAGATTGGTATTTATCACAATGCACTATCATCATGCCTGGTTTGTTGTGGGTCACTGATACCACTTGTGACAAACTCCCCTTTTCTGTGAGTTTTTCCTGTTTGCCAGCCTCCTACCCTGTGACTATGGCCCTTGCAATAGACCTGGCTTAAATACTTTAAACAGGCTCCGTTTGTGCAATTGGGACTATATGGTTCGTCTACCGAACAGCCACACGAACCGGAGACCACCCTGGAGCTTGTTAAGCTTAATTGATACATTGTTGCAATTTCCACCGCAGTGGTCCAAGTGTTCGTCTGGGTGGCCGCAATTCCTATGGCCGACCACAAGGTGGCGGCCATCTTGTTCACATGGACCAAAACCGCGAATAGACTTCAGGGGGACTTCGCCACGAATGCCCTGGAACTATTTTTGGCATGAAAACTTTGCGGTTCCCGGTCGGTCCTCCAGCGGCACTTAGCTGTGATTCTATAGAACTATCTTCGGCTAAATAAATGACTTCCAGGAAATTCCTGAACCCCTGAACTGATCTGGGTGATTTTTGATATGTTGGTCACCCAGATCAGGGCAATCAGGGGGTGTAACATTTGTGGGGTTTTATGTATTTGTAGGGTACTTTTGGGGTGTTTTTTAAAAAGTATGTTTTTTCTGTGCTTGGAGATAATTGGATTAGAATTAGTACAGTTACTGATTCAATTATCGCCCAAGCAAGGAGGAATGATTGTCGGGCATTTAATCACTTTTCTTATTGGTCTGTGTCTTTGTGCTGGAGTCCCCAACAAGGTCCATGTGGGCGTACCACTTGCATAGGGATTGTCATAAAAGGCCAAGTGTGACTCCCATTAAATAGAGATTTGTTTACCTTTTCGTGAAGTCTTGGCTCATGTTTGGGGGATTGGAGAACTACATACACTCTGGCGATTGCAATATCACAATACTCCCCTGAGTATAATCACTAGCTCTTCTAACAGCTGTTCCTGCTACGCTCTCTTGACTAGGAGAGGTCTACCCACTGGAAGCTGGATCCTGGTCTTGGGTCCAGGGTGGGTGGAGAACAATGAGATCCCTAACCAAGCTGCTGCGTTTTGTGGGGTTTACAGTGGTTATGGTGTCCCAGTACAGTGCTTATGGTGCTCACAAGTACTAGGAAGCAGCAATTGACTGAGGTACCCGGTTGGTGTGCCAGGCGGTCCGTCGCAACACTTTACCATGATGCTAGATCCCTAAAGTTACTGCTATATAATTATTTATTTTTAATTTTTTATTTATTTGAATAAAAACTTGCGCAACTCTGGATTTTACACACAATATAAGCAGAAAATATTAAGCCGAAATCATACCATAATCAGAGGAAAAATACAAATTCCTATTACCTGTGGTGGTCCAACCAAAAGCAGACGCCGAGGATAAAAATTCCTTATTCCTGTTGGTTCGCTGGTGTTACTGAAATCAGCATGATGGTGCTTAGGTGCTGTCCACTGTCTGTAGTATAGGGAGAGACCTTCACTGCTAATGTCTTTATCCATTGAAGGCCTCAAAGACCTCAACCAACTCACATCCGAATGAGGCAAGAGAAAACTGGATGAAGGAGACGGTCCATTTTTCTGTGAAGCCATTAAGTTGTAGGTAGCCCTTGACAAAATTACAATTCGAGGAAGAGCTAGATTTGTGGTCCTGCTCTTTCTTCCTGACTGGGTGGTCCACTGGAGAGTGTGAAATGGAGGGGATAATTTCGAAGTAGTGCTGCTGGCCATTTGGTTCCCCAGAGAGTCACATTCAGGTTTACAAAAGTCTGTGGCAGTGGAATTTGGATAGGTTCCCTCATCCACTGAGCCGTTTGTCGCATTCTGGAAAGCAGGGTTTGGTAGCGGTTTCTGTGCATCATCTGCTGCGCTGGACGAACTGACTCCATTCTCCACGATGGAACCTGTTCCAAACAAAAGCTTGGTTTAGGTGCAGACAGGTTTTGTGACAAAATATTTCAACAAAACTTATATTAGTGACTTACTATATAATCGTTCACTATAGAAAAGAAAAATAAATAAGTTACGGACCATTTTTTGGAATGTCAAATGTCAAAGTCAAATTCTCATCATAGAAGACTTAAAGGGGAACATACATTCCAAGGAGTTCAAGAACTTGGAGGAGTATATGACAATTTATAGCCTATTTTCTGGCTTCTAACCTATAGCATATTGGGGTAAGTTAGGTATATTGATCCATTTGGTTCCCTGCCAGCAGCTGTAAATGTCCAATAAAACTATTCAATGAAAGCTCTAGGTTTAACTGACCAACACATTTTCTCTAATGAACCACTAACTACTTGTCTAAAACAAGGACTTTTGTTACACAGACCTACCCCAATCAACATTAAATGTGCAATATTACGTCTAGATGATCAATGTAACCCTAACGTCAAAACTTCACTCAGATTATATCTGCTTATTAACCATGTTCCAAAAATGATTTTACTTCTTCACAAAGTCAGAATGTATATAAAACATTTTTATCCTAGTTACTCTTAGATTGTAAGCGCACAGGCTAAGTACTTTGTTAAAAAAAAAAAACAGAGAGCTTCAATGGCTAGATTTCAGCAAGTGGGCAAAGTCCTCTTTACCTTTTGTATTGGTCTTTGCATACGGTGCTCTTTTTCCCTAAATGTACAGAGCTGCAGAATACGTTGTCACTTTGTAAATGCCAGTAATAATAATAATAATAATAATAATAATATTAGTTTATTTTCTTTCAGGATTTGCCAGATACTCTGAAGAGCCTGGCGATCAGCATTTTTGTATTGGAAGAATGTTCATTGATACTTTTTCATTGCTTATGGCCCTATGGAGCACTTTTTTTTACTGAAGATTAAAAGTTCAGCCTAGTACATAGTAACACATGATTTACTTTTAATATGAGTTACTGCTTCATCCTGAAAAAAATCAGGAGGGGTCTCTTGGAAAAGATCTTCAGTGACTTGAATCACAATCAGATGAATATAAACACCACTAAATTAACTAAAAGAGGATGTAAACTAACCAGATGTGCCAGTGAAAGCACTGCTGTTACTTTCAGGTCTGTCCAAATCTATAAACAGCTCATCAGAGTCATTTTCTATGTTGTTAAAATTATCTCCTTCCTTGTCGCTAAGATCCAACGCAGTTATCTGTTCTCGCACAACCTCTTTTAACACATAGCAGCACGCCAGGCCAATTTCTTGTTCTAACGCCGTACGTGTTAAAAAGCTGGAGTCGATCAGCCTAAGGTCACAATACTTTAATGACCTAGAACACAGAAAGAAAATTAATTGCTTAACCACATTAATGAAACCTCGTTAAAGCTAGACACAAATCTTTTGCCCTAAATAGTTAGAGGAGATATTTAGATTTTAAGACCTTTTCAGCATTTAAACCCCCCCCCCACCCCAGTGAGTCATAGGAGAACTGTTTAACCAATGAGCTGAAGTGGTCTAGGTGCATACAGTGTCCCTCTATGGTATAACCAATGCAATATGACTAAAATATACACATACCTGGGAAATGTTTCCCCTAGAGGGTCTTTGCCAGTAAGAACAACAATGCAAGGAAGTCCTTCAAGGTCACCAAACGTTCTTGGAACCCAGTCTTCATTTTCACATCCTCTCCAGACCTTGACAAAAAAGAAATGCAACTCAAATATGCATATTTTTTTATTCTTCTAACTTGTTACAATTGAAACCATTCACAATCTGAATTACCATAAGATAAAAGAAGCATTATAGTCTACCATCCAGAATACCCACTAAAGAACGAAAGTGTAACTTTCAAGAACACCCATGCTAGTCTTAAAAAGCAAACATTCGTACAATGCACCAAAAATGGTGAAAACGAACACAATTTTCAAAATACATGCTTCTTTTCACCCTGTCCGGGAAATCTGGTTAGTGTCCTAAATGTTCCTGCAATGAGAGACAATGCGGGTGATTTATCAAAATGTTCTATTCTAAAAATATGGTCTGAAATACTAAAAGTAAGGCAGTCACCATGGAAACAGCAGGTGCATCCCACTTGTAACTCCTCCCCTTTTACATTTTTGCACCACTTTTTACTACAGAACGTTGTGATTACTCTCCCCACTGTAACTGTACTAAAACACCTTTACACATACACAAAGTCATTAGAATGGATCCTAACTGAGTATGTTCTACAGATGTCCACCTCAAAATACAAATGTAAGATTTCTGCTTCACATTCAACAGCTATAATTAGAGAAAAATAAACACAAATCCATAAAGAAATAATAATACAAAAGTCAGTTAGACTGCAAACACATTGCAATAGCAATCTCTCAGAAAACCAATCCAGAATTAAAGCATCACAAACAGACTGCTGAGTGAATTATACCAATATGATAATATCGTATTTCACACCATCTAAAACCATCACAAGTAAACTCAGAACATATCATTTGAATAGCAGCTAGAAAGGTGACAAGCTGTCCACACAATTTTAAGAATTTTTAAATAACTTCAAGACCTACTGTTAATACTGATGTAATAGGGTAAGGCATTTTCGCAATAGGGCAACCAGAACAAATTATCTTCAGAATTCTACAAGTACAATAGACAACAGCACTTTGATTTCTTTACAGATTAGACGCTTGGTGATACGTTTGTACATAAAATACTGTGCACGCAGACACTGTGGCTCCAAAAACATTCAGAAGGTATAATGGTATGGTATAGGTTTTCCCACATTTAAAAACTGGTACCATTCACTGTATGAATCAATTTAACAAGGTTTTAAAAGTTCTCTTTCCCCTTAATTACTTAGAAATTGTTTATTTTTTTGGATTATAAAAAGTCTGCTATAATAGATTTAAAGCAATGATACTTTTGGTTTTTATTTTCTTACCTTTAATCGAGTCACAAAGTGTTTAGAAACAGTCAGCTCTGTAGACGGGTTACCAAGCAGAACTTCAAACCGGTATTGCAAACCCAGTTTATCTCTCACTTCCTGTAGTCTATCCTTAGCCAACATTGCGAGCTGTACAGAAGGTACTCTGATAATCAGCATGTGTCCGTGGCCACTCTTGTCCTTTCCCGGATAGCCAAGCAGATCATCCATTATACTTAAAGTCTCTGGTGTGGTGTGGTCTCGAAGTGATGCCATGGTGGTTAAAGCCATTAATGCTTCAGAGTATTGCTGGATGAGTAGGTAGCATCGTATAACCATACTGTGTAATCTGGGGTACCTGTAGGGAATATGCATGACATGAGATAAGACAAGATACATATCAAACATCTGATTGTGCATGGTACAAAAATGATTAAGTGTTAATCTATGCATGTCAACGGTATGATCATTACGTAGAAGATTATTCAGTGAACCAGGAAAACTGACTAAAGGATTTATATTTTGTGCTGAAACAGCCTAACAAGAAATTTAGCCAAATTTAGAGCAGTTTTTGTTTGCAAATCTATTTCAGACCACCACTTGCAATTCTCTAGTCATGTCTCCACAGTTCTTAGGGTTAGTGAATAATACGACAAATGTGAAATGTATGCAATATTGTGCTAGTTGATATATACACATTTATGTGTCTGTTGGACGTAGGCCAGTAGAAGTTTCAGTTCCATTGCCGGTTTAATGTATGTGAATGTAAAGTACAGAGTAAAAATGTGCTTCATTTACCTTTCCAAGAGCGTAATAACCATCTTTTCAAAGGTTTCATCACACCGGAGTAGGGGACTTGTTATACCCCACTGAAGAGATTTACAGTATTCATTTATGCCAAAATAAACAGTACGCTCATTGGTTTCTTCCTCCTACGTAAAATTTTAAAAAATATTAAAAACCAGTCTGTATAGAAATACATGTATAAATATATCTTAAATAGAGAAAATATGGAAAACATATGCTTAACCCCTTAAGGACCAAACTTCTGGAATAAAAGGGAATCCTGACATGTCACGTGTCCTTAAGGGGTTAAAGCCAAAATATATCATGGGACGGTTAACCAGTAGGAAACATTAGGATCCTCTGCTATTGCAAGACCAATGTATTAAAGAGACTTGATTCACCCAAAGTGATGAAAGCCATAACTAGCTTGTGTCTGCTTCAGAATTTTGATCGCACTCTGGGCTTTTAAAGGATTATATTGGATTGTAATCCTGTAGGCAGATTTTGTTTGTCTCTCACACTGAGTTTTACCCAGTTTATCTGGCGCTTAATAATTTATAGGTGCAAAATGAAGAAATTATCATTCCTGGTTTGTCTCATTCATATCACAGGAACAATGCATTATTATATTCAACTTAAGGTCAATAATGGATCATTTTGTTCGCTGTAATATAAACGGAAAATGAGATGACATTACACAGTTACATTTTATAAGCCTGTAGGCAGTAGAAAAGCTGGATGCTACACTTTACAGATAACTTTCTCTGAATTCAATTAGTAAATGCCTTACTGCAATGTCAGGCTGGACCCAGTGTACTTCATTACTAGGACTTATCCTGGACTGCTGTGTCTGCAAAGCGTACGGTAAGGAGCTGACTTGAAGTACAATAAGATTCAGGGCGTCTTGCACTTCTTTGGTATTGATAATCCGATCAGACAAACCCTGCGTGGGCTCTCCGTGAGACAGAGATCCTGATAAGGCACTTAAGACAGAAGCATTTGTTTTAATAAAATGTTATACGATTACAACACTCAATAGTTAAAATATACAGGTATACACTTAATTTAAAAACATCCCATTTAACATTTCTGAAGAGAGAACTTTAGTATCATGACAGGCCCCACCAGACCTAAATACTGCTACATTTATAAACAATTTATATCGCATCGAGGGAGATAAAATTATTCCTATTTATGTATTTTGTAAATATGAATCGTTATAAGTGCAAACAGGTCAAATTACACACAATAGATAGATTTTTATATTTTTTTATTTTTATTAATCTTAAAACCAGACTGTAGGATTTCAGAAGATTTTATATTTAAATATGAAAAGTGAATTTTTTTTGCCACTAATAGTTTCACATTGAATCTATCTTTTAAACGCTGCATATCTGACAGACCACAGGTGTATATGGATGAATTGTCATTAAAGGCAAATAACTAAATGTGGAGATATCATGGTAAATATTAATGTATATTCTGACTGCAGCAATTTCAAAATATTGTAGCAGAATTCCTCTTTATACATTAACCCTGCAGATCTCATCAATATTCCTGATGAAGAAGAGTGGTTTGTATTTTATATTAAAAGGCTTCAGCTGCGCAGTGCACTTACCTAGTAAAATCCACGTGACTGTTATCATGTATAACAACAAACAAAGTGTATGGATTCAGTTTCACTTTCTTCATGAATGCCTCAAACTTCACCTGGACATCCCCGTCAAGTCGAAGGATATATTTTTCTGCTCTTTGATGTGCAGAGCCTCCCTCCTCTAGACCCAAGTCTGTTAGCACACCTGCCAAATGAGAAATTAGCCAAATGAGAAATGATGCAGCAACCGTTTTCTTTTAATTCTTTATTCAATAACTGGACCATCTCTTTCTAGTTAACATATCCTTCTGCATATAAAATTACAGTAATAAGTGAAAGGTAATAACACTTATGTTTTTTAGTTTTCTCTATTTTTGCAGGTAAAAACTACTGCACAACAAGTATACCATCAAAAGATTACAATTTCCCCACCATCACATTTGGAAAAAGAGGATCACTTCCCACCAAATGGTTTGATCCGTGAAGCTATAATGAAACATGGAAATAAGTACAGTCGTTCTAACAGGAATGAATATCCAATTTATTTTGTTGGTTAGAATTAATTTCCAATGGGCAGTCATTGATCGTGCTCAGTTATAAACAGAGAGGACGACTGAGAGGAAGCGACTGCATTTCAGAAACAATGCTTAGCAGAAATACTCAGATGGTAATACTTTCACATTGTCCCCAATCGACAATATACATGTTCAAGAGCATTTTTATGCGTGTGTGTGTGTACCAGAATAATTTTTCTCCTTACCAGATAATCTTATCCTCTGCAGTGTTTGTTGTACCAACACTTCTGAACGAGGGACCAAAATGAGGAAGTCAACTTTGCGAAAACGGCCCAAATCAAGACTTTGTGTGCCACTGTCTGCTATACTGCACACCTGGGAAAGAAGTCTTCTTGCCATCAACAGCTGAGTCTGGTGTATCAGGAAATTGTCCACGTGACAGCCTAAAACACAATGGATACACAATTAAAAGGGATCAGTAAATAATTACATATGTGCATTAACATATGAACTATTACACATATACAAAGCACAAAAGCCACTTTTCTTCATTTATTTATCCAGGAATTAAAATATATATTTTAATTAAAGGTCAATTATTTTTCACAGTATTATATAGTGTTTCTGATAGAAAGACCAGATAGTCACTGGCAGGATGCCATGTCAGTCTGGATATCATGTCCGGGATAAAGATGGATTACTGACTTTCTGATGTTCTCGACCTTGTGTTCATATAGAGGTCATGCGTTGTGTGTAATTGCCTGGCTTTCGTACGAGTACGGTTGATTCAGATAATCCATGATGTCAGAGGACTAATTGTGGTTATGAGAAGATTTACACAAAAAAATCTGATATTGGTCATGAAGCAATACCACCATTATAGCATGTAAGTAACAACAGGCAAAAACTAACCAGTCAACCTATTGATTAATTATCAATCCAGTCCACGTTACCTGGGCCACGAATAGGCACCATAGTCGAAGCTTCCTGAGAGGAGACGCATTCTTTGACATCTCCATGAAAAGGGATAATTACATTATCACCTCTCTTGTGCTGTATCCTATCCAGTAATTTGTCCAGGTCATCACCTAACAGAAACAAAGAACAGTTGAGAACACCTTCTTTGTCACACAGAAGAGTATTTAAGCTCCACTTGTTTTGTATTTTGAACCAACTCAAAAGACCTCCGTGAGTACATTCAGCTGAAGAGATTGACCTTTTAGAAAAACCAATAATTATAGATCTCCCTATGAAATCCAGCCAACAGCTGTAAGAAAAACCTATGTATTCATTTCCTTAGGAAGACGACCTACTTTATTTCTGCAGCATCAAATCAGATCATGGAGGTAGGCAGTAGGCATCTGAAAAGGCAGAGTTTACATTGCAAGGTCTGCAGGTACAGGCTATAGACACTAGAATAACTGCATTAAGCTGTAATGGTTCTGGTGTCTTTAGTGTTCCTTAAGAATTAAATTTTTCTTATTGAAAACGTAAGATTAGTTTAAAAAAACAAAAACAAAAAAAAAACAAAATTGTCAAGCCCTGTCTTACCACATGTCCCTCTCTTGATAGTCCCTAGTTTTCTAAAGTAAAAAACAGTTGTATGTTTCCTCACCCCTATAATTTCTACTACTACAAAAAAAAAAAAAATTGACAAAAAGTAGGACCACAAGGAGGAAGAGGAACAAGAAGGCGGGGTAGAGAGGGAGAGGCCAGACCAGGGGCAACTGGGCAAAAAGGAACACTCACCAAGAGATGTATTCTTGAAGTGCGATGCCAAAAAACTGACTTTGCCAGTAATCAATTCATAGCTGATCTCCTTTAAAAATTCACCGGTTGTGAGCATGCTTTCAGCAAGAACACGTGAATTGTACTGCCCTGCCAAAGACAAACAGAGCACAAATTATGCTGGAAAGATGTTCACATTCTCATTTACAGATGTGAATGCCATACCTGAACTAAATAGATTGCAGAAGTATGAATGATCTCGCTGAAGTGAAGAAACAGAGAACACCACTTTAAACACGAGGCTCCAAAAGTCATGTTGCCATGACATACAAGCACAAAGAAGCAGGTCATGTACTGAACAAACCTCAGAACACAGTCAACGTTATGCCAGACTGTGCACATGCAGCCTGTTATTACATTGCATCATGCCTGCAGTATCCAACAGTCTACATTCTGATCACCCCAAATTAATCATTTATTTTAGTTTTGAAAGTTTACCAAACACAAAAAACAATGTGACATACTAAATGGTCTTTGTCGTAATATATATTGTTTAAAAGGAGTTCAGCAATTTCTAAGCTATTTTTATTTTTATTAGTATTAAGGGCATTTTGGACAAAAATCAAACCCTTCCCTCCCCCCAAGGACACTATACAATCAATCAGAAACCAAATGGTCTGTGCATTCTGGGTAATATAAGTGAAACGTAAGAGATACACAAAGGAAATTTGTTACTAATTATATTTGAAGGCTATTTTGTTTTTGGTTTTGTAATATAATTTGTTTAGCCCACATTAAAGAAAAGTAACAATAACCTAAAGTGAAATTGAGTGCGTCTTCAACAGAAAATGTTTTGACTAGAGAATAAAAAAAAACAAAAACATTTCATGTGTAATATTAAGGATAGTTTAACCCCTTAAGTACACATGACGGGAATATTCCGTCATGATTCCCTTTTATTCCAGAAGTTGTGCCCTTAGGGGGTTAACAACAGTATCTCTTGTATTTGGACTACAGTATTAAAAGAATCATAAGATAACCCTGTTACTTACCTAATGCAATCACACAAAATTCACTGCCACGCATTTTTGAGGAACAAATCACTACCATATAGTCTGGTATTTTTTGGGACGGCTTGATTTCACAAAGAGACCCGAGCGTTTCTGAAATGCCTTCCGCCAGTGTATTCTGGGTTACCAGCACACGCACCAAATCTTGAGAAACACTGGCAGACAGACGGGCAAGCCAAGGGAGCTGCCCCTGGGACACACACACTCCTGGGGAAGCCATTGGTAAAATATGTTCTTTATTTGTTAATTCCTGCAACGCTTTAAGCACAATCTGCTCGAAAACTTCACGGACTGGTATCTGATCGGGACCTAAGGGTAAAAAAAAATATTTTGTTTATTCTGTGAGTTACACAAAACATAAAATGGCAGAATTTTAAATATTAACATTACATTAAAATATTTAAGTATATTAATTCATTGTAATTCACAAGATACTTTGTTAGTTTTGTAATTTGAGAACTAAAACAGTTTAGCTTTTTTGTTTTTTTGATTAAAAGTTTAAATAAAACTTGAGTTCAGTTGAATTTAGAATACTGACCCACAGAAATCTATATTGTATCCATATCTGTAAAAAAAGATAATCAAGATCTAAAAGAGTTAATTCGGTAAGTGTAGAAAATTCTCACCAAGTCGCACTAAATACTGTATCGTAAGGAGAATCATGTTCTCCACGCTTAGAAATTGGGTACTACACACTCCCATCTGATCCAGTTCCTTCTTTTCAACTTCCTGGAAATTGTAGCAATTCACCAACAATGGGCTTACAACAAGATCTCCAACATTCCCATAGAAATACGGTAAAGTGCCACGCCCTGACATTCCAAAAACAAACAAGACATCAAATTAATATAGGTCACTTAAAATAAAGAAAACATGTATAGGAACAACCTTTAGGTAAAACAAATCCAATTGAGTACATTTCCTATAATGAACTTCTATTACTTTGGTTTCAGGACAGAACTATCCCTTGGATTTTCTAGTCTCACCACCTAGGAGCAACTCATGGACATAGTGTCTGTTTTGGAAATCACCAGATAGACTTTAGGTTTTCGGCATTCATAAACCGACTGAGAAAATACTGGATTGAGCCTTATAAGCAGGAAACTGGTCTAATAGGAAATGAAGAATAAGACAAACACCATCACCTACTAGAACCATAAGTCAACCAAATGTTACAACATTATAGGATTTAACCCAAGAAACTAGTTTCCTAGAGCAGGTCAACTGTTTCCTCAATTACAAGTTGCATAGCATTTAATTAAGAATTACACATGCAATTCTTTAAACACAGAGCAAACACATTTTGACTTTCCTTTGTCTCCAATTTTTTATGGTGCTTTACCTTAATTCCAAAAAAGAAAAAAGAAAAAAAGCTGCAAAAACACACTGTTTCACCAAGTTTTCTGTGTCAGCTTTAACTACTCTTTGAAGATTGGTGGAGATGCATATTTTAAAAGACAATGGAAAAAACTTGTCTTGAAAAGATTACAGAATGCAGCTTGAAAAAAACCAAACACACTGATGACAAACAATAAATCCAATTTTCGTGACAATATTGTTTATAGAATCTTACTGGATAATGCTTGTAATTCACCTTTAATGCGTCGCTTTCAAATAAAGCACAGAGAACAACCGCCAAATGCCAAAGAAACGTATCAACAGTTGAAAATTTGATAAAAACTAAATTCACAAAGGTCCTCATTCATAAGCCCTTTGATAGGTTGGTAGCTTCATTTTAAAAACCACATTGTTTGAAATTGACAAATAGAGTCTTTAATGTTCCTGTTTCATTTCTGGAGATAATGCCAAAACACTAGAAGACAGATCTACATTATGTGTTTTTCATGGAGTCCATGTGTAAGAAATAGGCAGCTGAATAAAAGTGAGAATGTTAGCACAACTCTTCCCCAAATATAAATAGTCAAAAACAATCGTAGAACAAGTCCCGCCAGGTGTTGTGTGCTGCCAGAAGCCCTGCGAGTTAAACCCGGTAGTCCAGAGCCTAGATTATGTCTTTAGGAGCTTCTTTCAGTCTGGCTGAAGTAGTACAGATGGGGAGTGGTGCTGGATTACCTCAGGAAAGAAGTCAAACTTTTCTAAAATGTTTGACTACTTGAAAATGGGGGTACCTGACTACTCCTAGCATCATATAGTACTTTGGTGTTCCTTCAGCTGTGGTGATTCCGATGCAACGAGTGTCATTTTAAAATTAAATTATTTGCAGAATTTAGAGAAGAATCAGAAATAGCTGGGTTTTCTCAATTAATCTAATCACTATTGAATTATTATATCTAGTCATCAGAGGTTTAGTAAGTGGAAGTAAAAGCTCTACCAAACTAATTACATACGTATTTTTAAACGTAACTATACTTACCTATCAAAATAACAGGCCGTATTCCAGAGTTATTCAATAAATTTTCCGGCACAATCACAGTCTCTCCAGCTGACAATGGCTGAGGTTGGAAAACGCCTCCCAAAACGGGTTGTGGCACGCATGCTATGAAGACAACAATTTCGAGAATGGAGTACATTATTCATATAAATAAACATATAAACAAAACATTCCCATGTATGGGAAGAAGCTATAATAATAATATCGATAAAACGTCATCTCATGTAGCATATTTTGTGAAAAACAGGAGAGACCGCAATATATGGTTAGAGGTTTTAGTTTTACGTTGACAAAAACTGATTAAATATAAGCTACCTGTTCTTGTGACTGGCCGGACAGGAGGAGCAGTAACTGCTATAACAGGAGAGCTGGGAGGCCAGCCTCTGTGTCTCTTCTTTGGTGGACCACAGATTGAAAGAACTGCTGTGTTGAGAAAATTGTAAGATTATAATAAAATGTAAACAAAAAAAATAAAAAAACACCACACAATTTTGAACAGGATGCAATTGGTAATGCAAACAGCTGTTGCTCCTCACCATGTGACTATTGTCTAGAGATCAAGTCACATGCCAAAGTTACATATTCAGATTTGTTATTTACTAACACTATTTTCTTATCTGTAAATTCAATATTTGGAAAATTAATTTTGAAAATGTTTAAAGTTTTTTTCTGTCCAACCAAATGTTTGTTTTTGTTTTCATTAAATGCTTTCTATGCATACAGAAATGAAAAATGCAATTAGTGAAGGGGATTAATTGGCCTGCGGATGCCATGCACACCGATACATAATGTATTAAATCAACTATCAAAATATGCAATACAGAATTTCCTAGAAAGAATCAGCGCAAGCGTACTTAGGATATGGAAAACAAACAAAACATTTGTTTAGTGAAAGAGTAGAGTTCAAAGTAAAATTTAAGATGCAGACCAAGACAAAGACCAATAATAAATTCCTTTTTAACTGCTCTGTGCTTTACCGTTGCTGAAATAAATAAAGCAAATTTTAGCATTTATACCGTGGTCACCAGCAACACTGCCGGGACTTGGTGATGTTGCGTGACGAACAGGCTGAGAAGGTGCAGGATTTAGTGGTGTAACACGACTTCCACTCGCAGAACCATTTGACATCTCTGGAGATTGATATGAAACTGGTGCTGAAATATCAAATTGAATATTTTTTTTAGGCAAGGTTATCAAAGGAAAAATTCATTAAATCTCCAGTGACATTTGTGAAAAATGACAACTCACCTGCAGGAAATGTCTTCCCCACAATATGCCCAGGAATAGGTAATGGTTTCACAATGCCTTTATTTCGAGAGAGATCCTGAGGGGCGCTCGAGATCGGAGTAGTGAGTGCATTTCCTGGGGTGAAAGGCTGGATCTCTATCAAAAGGTGGATTAAAAAAAACAAAACATCACAATGTAAATAATGAGTTTAAGCTGCCAACCAAGCCTCACATAAGAGTCATCAGTGCTACGGAAAATGTTCTAAAAATATAATTAAAAAAATATGCTTTATAACAATATAATAAAGTCCTACATATATAATAAAGCCTGCAATAGCCCTACATATTAGTGATGTGTAAGAGTACATTGTAAAATATTCTCACAGAGCCCTGCTATTAAGATAAAGAGTATGTAAAGTTATTTTTCTGCATTATGTGAGAATAAGACTAATGGACGAACATGGCAAAAACGTTCAGTGGCTGCTTAAAAACTAGTTAATACTTGATGTCTGAATTTGCATGTACAAAATTCAGACAAGCTTAAATGGTGCATCAACTAAATTAAATCATCCAAATAAACAGATAAAATTACAATCTTAGTTTAGCATAACCAAATTTTTCCACCTTGCATAAGTGTAATGAATTTTAGTCCAACCATTTTGTTTTTAGATTACTGTAATTTTTAATTCTGGAAATATACAATCCTGGAATAACTGGCATGTTTGGTACATAAAATAGGACTTGCTATCCCTTACCTGAATATCCAAAACATGTTTTATATCCATTGCTGCTGCCATTCTCTACTGGAGATGTCAACGAAACAGATGCAAGTGGCTTAGCAGGTGAAACGACACCAGGAAATTGTCGGTTTCGGGACTCTAGAACATTTAAAAGAATACAAAGAGTATCACTGTGACAGACACAAACATGTGGCAATGTTAAACAAATGCTTGATGTCCTGCCCTGGTCAATAAATAAACGTAAAAAAAAATTAATAAACTCTGCTTAAGATATTGTGTATTTTTTAATTTTTTTTAAAGATACTATAATTAACAATTTGCAATTTGATAATGCCCATGTGACTGAAAGCAGAGCTAAACACTTTCCACTCTCCACTAGCCTGTGGTGAGAGAAAATGTAGCATAACATGGACACAGTAAGAAATGTAGTTACGAATTAATAATACATGGTAGACCTACCTTTCCAGCAGACCAAGGGACCTTTAGATAAAACTCCCTGGGAGTTCCTCACTAGGTAATACTTTAAGTGCTTTTGCTTCTTTGGTTGAGTTGTCAACTTCAGGTTAATGTGATTGGAGAACTCTGTAAAGTACCTGAAACCTCTCTCTCCACAGCCAACACAGTTTCCAGAGAACCCTTTAAATAGATATCAGCTAATTAAATCACATTTGATATATTGAGAAGAAGTACTAAGCCATAAAATATTGTTTGAGATGAACATTTATGAGAATGGGATCTACACACAATTTATGCATTCTGACCCAGTGGTTCAAAATCCGTGCACTTCAATAGATCAGAGAATAGGAATTTGCTAAATTATGTTACATGATTTGCAGGCAATCACTGTTCTAGTTAGTGGTATATAATGGGGTGAGCTAAACATGCAGTTTACCAGAGACGCACTTCTCGGTAAAGCCATTTAAAGTGTACCCTCTCACCTAAAAGTGCATTTTTTCCATTGTCATCTGGTAAAAACCTCTTGTCCACAGCACAGACAAGAATGTGCTCGGAGAGGCTTTGAGTTTTTACTCCAACCAAAAGAAATCCTGAAGGCACCTCAATCTGCTCTTTGCAGAGCGACGATAACCGCAAGTCTTTCCCTGCCTGGCAAAAACCTGAGACAAACAAACAGATCTTTCTTTTAGTTTAACCATGCAGGCAATGTAATTTAAAAAAAAAAAAAAAAAACACACAAAAAAAACATATGTATATCTCCGTTACACTATGAAAAACGCATATTGCTGGGGTAAATACATCTGATGTCTCTCCATGTAGAAATTTACATCCATAATAGGTCACTGTTTAGGTAAGAAAAAAGTGTACCAAAAAGGCACTCTGGCATAGATTTATGAACAGGATGATTACTAGGTAGAATCTGTGGCATATTAATACATCCATACACAATTCAAATCTTAAGCTCTTATGAAGATATTGATCAACATCTGACCTTCATAGCAACGTTTTATGTTATCTATCCAGTAAAACCAACTCTATGGTTGTTTTGACCAAGCACGGTAAGCAGAGGGATGGATTTTAAACAGACCAATTTATGAATACAAATGCCAAATACAGAAAATGGTTTAAATTTAATAAACAAAAGCTATTATAAGAATAATAACCATAAATCAGAAAAATCTTGAACATTAAGTAGTTATTGCACTCTACAACAAACTAATTCTTACCATCCAAAGTACAAGATCCTTCTGGAGCTGGTTTCTGGGCATATGGTAGAGGAGGACTACTTGTATCTGAGATGTCTTCGTCATCATCGTCTTCCTCTACTTCACATACTGTTTGGCTGCTAGGGAAGTTCAAGCCCCCACGCGGATTACTTCTTTGAACAAAATCCTTGTCTAGCTCCTCCAACTTAGGTTTCACATCTATGCCATAACAAACAGGATGCAAAACTTAAAATGAATGTGAACAATGGGACAATAAAGGGGATCCTATCTACCATTACAATCTGAGATACTATTCACTCATCAAGCAGCACCTGAATTTTGATACAGAAGTAACTGACAACAGATACCCCCTCGGCTGTGAAGCTATAAGGATGGGTTGACGCCCCAATACAGATCAGGTATCCCATATCACTTACCACCTGGAGATGATGTAGGTCTGTCAGTATTAAGGTAGAGCTGAGAGAATACCGGGCGAGGTACCACATTACTGCACCGAAGAGATGCTTCTATTGAATTGTGGAGAGCTTCTTCAAAACGCGCAGACTTGAGCTGCCCAGCATAAGAATTCCCCATGGCCTAAAAATACAAAAATATTGTGGGTAATTAGAAATACATAAAGGGCAAATTATAACATAAATAAGCAAATTTAAAAAAATACATCAATTAAAACAAATAAATTACAAACCAAAAACACTTTGTTTTGACCTAAACAATACTTTATCCAACTCAGACTTGTAGTAATAAAACAATTAATGTGTTTAAAATTGCACATATTAGAGATTTTTTTAAGTATCTTTCAGGTAATGATTGGGTGTTTATATACAACAAAAATGTACTTTCATGATTTTAATGTCACACTGCATTTTCTAAACAGCAAAGTAAAAAAAAATGCTAAAGTTTGATGGAAACTTTTTGTGGACAAAAAAATGCTACATAACATTAATCTTGTACGTTAAACCGGAACTGTTACTTCTTGGGAGATAATTTCATCGAATAAAACATTGAAAATCACCTAATAACTTGTGTTAACCTTTTTCCATATGAAGTGCTTACAAAATATGTTAAAAGGGAATTAGCAAATGACACCACAATCCAGTCCAGTCCATGCACAACCAGGGCACACGATCCAAATCAAGAAGAAAGGGGCAACCAACTATGTTTAAAAGAAGAAATATTTAAATTCATAAATGACAGGAAGTCACGATGGAGGCACCCTGTTCAATGAAATACCAGTATATGGATTTCTACATTTAAATTTATTTTTCTCATGTTAAAATTATAGGAAGACAAGTCCCCTTTAACCAGATCACTTCTTGCACAGTTATCAAACTTCTTTTTATTTCCTTTACATAGCCATAGTTTCTTTGTATGTTCATTTTCGAATATGTTTGACAAAGGTGTTGGGCAAAAAGCTAAAAAGGAAATTATTAAAACACTATATTACTGGAGCAGGCATATCTGAAAATTAGAACATTTTAATTGGATATGAAAATTCCAAAAATATAGCTCATATAACAAATTAATACGAAATGGCTAGGCATGTTTAAAAAGACAAAGAAATGTTGTAAATTTGTTTTGAGCAGCTTGAATACTTAACTAGTGTCTGCCAGGTGCCGGTCTCTTACTCCATTCAAGGGTCACTCCAGACCCCTAAACAACCTTTATGTGTGAATAGTGTGTCCTCTTTTTTTTCCATTTTGCAAAAGTGCACATTTCAATAGAGAGTGACACTTTTATAAATTAACCAGGTTACACCCCACTGGCTTTCAAGCAGACAACAGGTCCAGTTACTTCCTGGTTTCATTAGCTCAATGCAACAATTGCCCAAAGCACCTGACTTGCAAAAACTTCTCATTGAGCTGCATTGGGAAATCTGTGATTGGACAGCCATAGAATGTCTGAAGGGGTTTGAAGGGGAGGGCATGCAAAGACTGCAGACAAGAGAACTGCAGGTTTGGCAAACTGATTTTAGATATAGCCCCAATTTAGAAAAACAAAAACAATTAAATGCATGAAAGTTTTCATTTAGGATATATCTACTAAACAGTGATTTTATTTATTTTGCATTTGGGCAGTGGAGTGTCCTTTTAAGAGGAGGAGGCTCCTGCAGAGAGTCCAGCATATGTTTGCTCTCCAGAGCTAAACCCTGATTTTAAGGTCCAACTTACTGGCTGAGAGAGTTTATGGGCCTCAATAGATGAAGTGACTGCTCTGCAAATCACAGATAAGTTGTCAAATGGACTAATTGCATTAAGGGTAGTGACTTCGGGCACCATAAACACTACAGCACATGCACGCACAACAGACTTCTACTAAAAATTCTGTGTGCACATGCACTCATGGGTATTCTCTGTATATGCTTGAGACTGAATATTGATGCTAGAGATTGACACATTTTAAAAAATATGGACTGAACAGTCTGTTGGGGGAATTCTCACCCAAAAGCTGGCATATTGGTATTTTTTTATGCGGACATGTTGTGATTATAATAAAGCTGGGGTCATAGACCTGTCCACTGTATAATTGGTGTTACCTACGGGTAAAGGATCATCATTACTTATGTAAATATTTACCATCATTACACTATTATAAAAAGCACACCTAAAAGTCACGCCATGCTGTATAACAATGGGTTTATAACAATTTCCTGATAATTTTCCGTGTAATATTCACTCTAGGCACTTTGGTATTCGCTCTTTGCAAAATGAAATTAAAACAGGATTGTGCTCTAAAGCTTGTATGTCAGGCATTCTAAAGATATACCTAGCATTGGTAATTGGCGAAGGGAAAATAATAGTTGGTTATATGTAATGCTAAAAAATTATTTTAAAAAAAATTAAAATTGTCTATTCAAATAGACCTGTATAATTAGTGGAGCAAACCACTTGTGGCTGCATTACAAATTAAATCAGTCAAGTGGCATAAATTATAAGATTGCTTTTAATTAAGATGTATTCCCGGCATGACATTCTAAGTATATTTGGAAAAATGTCACAGTAGTGTGCAAGACATTGCAAAACAGTAGGATTTTCACCTCCATCTGGCATTCAAAGGGTAAATCCCCTTATGTATACTCATACCCATCTGTCAATGGTATCGGAGTAGGTTGGGGGCAGGGACAAGCCATAGACAGGTGGTCAGCAACATGAAGCCAAGGGACATGTCTCAATAATAAGCGACACAAGGCAACGCATTGAATAAGAAGCAAACACAGCAAGAGAAGGTGAAGAAAAAAAAATGAAACAAAAGGACACGTGTTGTATGGTAAAGAGTAGGCACGAGAGAAGTGTCAGTCAGGGCAACCAATCTATATTTAACACAGCTGTTGCCAAATCCTCATCAGCTTCTCAGAGTAGAATAAATCACTTTGATCTTGGGAGGCCTGCGTTTTTTAAATCCTTTTCAAACAGTTCTAGCAGTGAATGTGGCAAAGGGAGCTCATCATGGTCTTATCAGTGCACTATAAGTGCTCTTCCAAGGAAGTGTATCCACTTTAACAGGCCAAACTGATCATTTTGCATGGCCCGCACTTTCACTGAATAGTAGCCCGCTTGCCCTAATGGACACATTTACAGCGTTATTCAATAAAGTAAGAAGAGCAAGAAAGTCAAAGAGAATACAAAGGGAATTTAAATTTTAAGGCAACAAAAGGCAAAAGGAAAAGCATAAGGTGACTTGAATTTTTGCAGTTTGGCTTTTTTTGGCCTTAAATTTGAAATGAACTTTGAATTATTGGCAATTCTCACTTTAGTGGATAACCCTGTTAGTCTTTGCCAGGGAATACTCAGAATCCCTCCCATTAAGTAGAACGGTTACTTGAGATTTTTGAGCACACTGGCAACCAACTTGTGATATATTTTTTGGTTTTATTTATAATCCTCATAGTTTTTCATTTTTTACATTTACACTGTATATCTGGCTGTCGTGGCACAAACAGAACATACCATGTAAAATAATTTTATCCAATGCAGATGGCACTACGGAAGGAATGTTTGAGCCAGTGTGCTCTTGTACAGATTTTATTTTGGAGTTTGCAGAACATATGGAATGATGCAGTTACACTGTATTTTATGGGAGAGTGGTTTGGTAAAGGGCATGTATTAATGTAGGTTTTAGATGTGGGGCACAAAGAACTAGTTTTGCCTAAGGCAGGGGGGAAAAAAAGCTCTGTCAATGCGGTACCAGAGAGAGAATGTTAAAGCGGCATATGCCCGGTTTGACCAGCCATCATCAAGGACTGAGTCAGAGTATAACTGTAAAGAATTTATAATTACTCTAGATAGTAAATGTTAACGTTAAAGTTTAAAACCAGTGAAGTCATAGCAAAGTCATTTCATTGCCACCCTAATGAGATCTTATTTTTTGCAGTGAAAATCCATACAGGAGATCCAATTAGGAGAGATCGCAATGAGTGACTGTCGTCAATAGAGGGCAGAATTTACTATACATTTAAAAATAGTGGTTGGTTATAGATTCGTATTTTTTTCCGCTCACATTCCACATATAGGTTTTATTTTGTAATTCCTATTAAATGCCTGGTTATCATGGAAGAGCCAGAGCATAATAAATAAATACATTTAACCCCTCGGGAACATATATATATATATATATGCATGCTGCTCCTCAGAAACAGTGTCCGAGTAAGATAGAGAATATATATATATCAAACTGTCACAACGAACAGCCCCATAAAGATCTGTCACTGCATAAAATAACTAATGTTTAAAAAAACGCCAACTTTATCATGTACAGTTTAGAAACTGCAGAAAATTGTGTTAAGCAAAATCAATGATAATCAGGACATCTCTAGTTTGTCATCTCTATAATGTGGTTAATTGACTAAACAAAATAAAAAATAAAAACTAGATCAAAATAAAACCGAAAGAAATCATTTATTGCCAAATCTGGTGTTGACTGTGCCTGAAATTGTTCTGAACAGAGTTACAGGCTCCTTGTAAATAATATGATGGTAAAGTTGTTATATAATAATATCTCTGTATACCTGTATATCAACACATTTCTAAGACAGATTCCTCATCTAGAAGGTAAGTTTGAAGAGCAGGGCCTTTTTTACATCTTGTTTAAAAACATGCAAACTGAACAGTCTAGCAAATTCTGTATTAAAAATGGATCATTTAAAATGGAATAATAAAATAAATAATTCAAAATCCAAGAATAAAATATTTTATTTATAAAATATTTTACCAGGAAAGATACGGTGAAATTTCTGTCCTGACATTACAATATTTCAGACTTCACACAGCTTTGCATTAGGGGTCCCTTTCCCATCTGTCTATCCATCTAAACAGAGAAAACAGAGCAAGACCTGATCCCTGATCTTTACAACAATTCTCTTGACCTTTAACTAAATCAAGAGTGAGATTATGTGACTGACTTCCTGTGAATCATCTCTACACCTTGCACTATCAGGCCGGACGGTCTGCATACACTGCGTGGATGAGGAATACATCATTGGCTTTTTCTAAAAAATATATATATATTATTTAAAGGAAAGGATAACTATTGTATGCAATTCTACAAAAACAACTGATAATCAATTGAGAATTTTTACA